CTTCCATTTATTCGATTAACTTTAGAGTATTAAATAACAGCTAGAAAATCCAATCGAAAAGGTAAGTTTTATTTGTCAAGTAAGAAGCGGCGTAATTCATTTCGCCGACATATCGCGTGCGACGCGTCTGCTCTATAAAGAACTGGTATATACGTTATGTAGCCGCTACACGCCATGAAAACCGTTTATATGCTTCTAAAGCGTAAAATAATTCAAACTTTAATTATCTTTTTAATGTACATACTTGCAGTTTATTATGGAGGAAAGGAATCATACGTAGATATCATTGACGACAGATTCTCTACGTACCGGTAAATATCAGGATAAACGAGGCATTTCTGAAACCAATTTTTCATGTGGTTAGTGAATAAAATCTGCGTTTATTGCGGTATTACGTATATAGGAAATATAAAAAGAAATCATCTGTTATAGGAACATGATATAAAGGAGTTTGAATCTGGATTCCATTGGATACGATAATCCAATCCGAAGAATTTGATGTTTCAACTATTATAAAAGGAAGGATCACGGGGGTTTAAATCTAATCTAATTCCATAAACCAGTTTTGTATACTTTTAAATTCATCTTTTGCTTTGTGAAATACCATACCGGAAGTTGTATTATACGTTATCGATATATCTTTTAACTAATCTTGAAATCTAATTTTCGTATATTTATCTATCGAACTTTCGCTGTGAATTATTATGTATTCCAAAATCCTCTGTCCATGATCATTCGAATAATTAATTTTTCTATTTTTCAGTCGTCCAAATTTTGTTACGAGACAAAAGATTCATTTTTGTTCTAGGTGAAAATTTATTGTATTTCAACGTCGTCAGTTTCCTTTACTGGAAGTTTACAAATAATCATTTTCTTATCGATAAAACTGAACGATGTTTAAAAATTTTGAAATTGTTTCATTGTTTCTCTTGGATCGACTGACAGATAAATGATAAATTTTGTTACGAAATTATATACGAAAAATATGGAAGTCTTTAAGAGTAAGTTTAGTTTGGAAAGAAACGAAGGTTCTTCTGTTACAAAATATGCATATGAAATTTCACTTTCCGCATAGTTTCTTTCAGAAATTACGTGTTTAATCCACACAGTTATCGTACAGATATATGCATATTTCCCGATGATTAAGTAATGTAATTATTTTATTACATTAATAATTATTTATTAATTATTTTAACTATGTAATTATTTGTGTACAATTTTATTCTATGGCTTCTTCATTTCTAAACAATTTATTCGTTAAAGCATTCTTTAGTATTTTTAGTATTTGAAAATGTTAGAATACATTTTGTTGCAATTTGTGATTATAAGAAGTAGATAATCAGCTTTTATATATATAGAATTATTTATGTAATTTATTTATATTTTTTATTTTTCTTAGTTAAGTCAAATAACAAATGTGACCAATCGTGTTAAAATTCTTTACTTTTACTTTTATCCGAAACGTTATTTTTCTTCTTATATATTATGAATTATCTCAAACTTTCTTTCTGAAAATTCCATTGTGGGTAGAATTTTTCAATTCTTTTTTTAACTCATTTTCTAACGAGGTATTATAGCCGTTGCAAACCAGTTTTGTTCTAATATTTACATAATTTTTCTGAAATACTAAACGTATATTTTTAGTACTTTCCGCGATAATCCTGCTATGTTTAAACTCAAATTAAAGTTATGATTATTCAAAATGGTTGATAACGAGATTTTAACATTCCTATCGTAAATTTCACTCCAATAAGATACATCAAACTTATTCGTTTTTAACATATTTAATTGCGATTGATAATAAGACAAAATTAAATAATAATACGATCAAATTTAAACTTTGAAAAATCTATTCTTCATGTGCGGTAATCTCATAATTGAATAACTGGAATACATTCAACGAGTCGAGTCAGCAACTACAAAAATATTTGAAAATATATTCAGTGACGATTTAGGTAAGGCAGTTAGGGTAATAGGATAATAAAATCATAGAATAGTCGAATGTATTTAATTTTCTGAATACTAATTTATTCGTCATATCGTCATGTTATTCACTGTCGATATGGATGTAAATAATGCATAAGAAATCTCGCATAAATAATTTGCTTCCGAACTTGATTTCCTGTTTACTCTCAAACTATTATGTAATTGGTCAAATATATTTTCAACATCGTTGACGTTGAATACGATTAAATCTAACGTCACATCTGTAAACTTGGATGTCACATATTTCGTTATAATGTGATTATTTGTACTTAAGCTCAAATCATTTTTATAAAATGTAACTAAAAGTAGTAGAGATGAAAAATTATTCGGTGAATCGAAACATTATTCCGTGTTATTTTATCGTATGCATTTTTCATCCTGAAAGATACACCTCTAGAATAGGACTGCTGTTAAAATCTGGTACCCAATATTATACTCAAACACTACTGACGATTTTTTTATTTTCATTATATGAATATCACTTCTGATTTTCCCGAAATTCATGAAAAATGTTTTTAAATAATTTTTTAAACGTTGATGAATTTATTATACGATATTATACGATAATATAAGCCTGCTACAGGTGGATAGAATAATCAGACGTTTACATTAATTGCAATAATATTTATTGTATTTTTCGTAAATTGTCTATTTCATTGTGAAATTTATCACGTTCGTATACCCATTCATAATTTGCATTTCCTTTGTACTCCATAGACATCCCATAGGTATCCCAAAAATATCACAGAATTAATTCTTTGCACTTGAGAGGCGACCCTCAGTCGCCATTTAATCAGATTCTAAAGATCGATGTTAATTAATATAAAATTAAATTTAAAATTACCCAACGACGCGTGGAATGTCGAAGTAAAATAATTCTAAAAATATTAAAAGTATCGTCGACTTTATGGCAGAAAATCTTAGAATTGTTATTTTTCTGTAACGAAAAAGTCACCAAGTGCAAAAAGGGTCAAATAATGTACAAAGTGTATCATTTTTACCAAAGCTATCTTCACATTCGTCGGTACGTTCTTCTGAATTAATTTGTACGCGTATCACATAAACATTTAAAATACTAAACCTTTCATTAACACCCAGATAGGTTCAATTGATTCATTTTGCAGCAGACGACTTGATTATCATTGTATTCAGTGGCGGAGATCATGCGAGGCATGTTTATAGAAGTATAAATATCACATAGTTCAACCGAACAAGAACAAGCAAGGATGAAAACTATAATGACTCGACTCGTCTGCCAACCTATAGCTGCAGCCGCGACTCCTTATTTATTTGCATTAACTCGACGTCTCGCGCGAATTACATTCACGCGAGTATTGAATGACGTAATGGAAACATGAAAAATAACATTTGCGTATTATTGGAAAGACTTGCGTCTTTACAAAATACAGCCAACATCGTTTAAAACTCTACATTTTAACCAGAAAATATGCTTATATTGCATTTAAACGAGGATAATTACGAAGTGAATATCTCGATATATTTTTGTATAATATATATTTTATTATAATTTTTATTTATAGTACATACATATATGATAGAAAAATTGAATATCGTCGAACATAAAAGCATTTCGTGTAGAATTCTTATTCCATAAAAATATGTGATAATAATTAACGCAGCGATTTAAATATTACTACGTAACTCTATAAATAAAATTAGCAATAACAAGAGAGTAATGATTCCTTCACAACGAAATATCATTCAAACTAATCATTTTTCGATATATATTTCGATGATACTATTTCCCAGAAAATTTCGAGCTTCGTTGACTGGTGTATTAAAAGTATTCCGTTCAAGAAAACCAAAATCGAATTTCTCATAACCTCTACACATTCACTTAGGAGAAATATTTTTCGCGTTTATATAAATACAAAACTTTTGAGTATAAATTTTTCCCTGCAAAAATTAATTATCTTCTGTTTTGTTCTTATTCTGTGAAGGTAAAGTTGTTATAAAAAAATTTTATCAAATTTCCCATACGATATTCTTCATCTTCTGTCAATTTAGTCTCGACATAAGGCCACACATTGCCATATAGAGAAGATGAAAATTTATCAATAAATTTCAGTTCGATTCTGATTTCTTTTATTCGTTTGCAGCAAATTATTAGCAAATTGGTAGCTTGGTCATGTGGAAGAGAATTGGCATAAATAATAATAAGCAAATTCCACCATAAATCATCAGTTTTTGAATGGAGATTCATTTTGGGTATTATTTTATTTTGGACCTGAATTTTGTTCATATCTTTGTTGTAATTTTCGTTCACTTTCTTCGTCAACTAACATTTTCTTTTGGATCTTTGTTGACATCCTTGATCGAATTGTATCTTATGGTATTGTATCTATTTTCCACTATAGATTCAAATTTAATACGCGAATGGATTAATTCAAATTGAAAGAATAAAATACTTCATTTCGTTGATTCTCTGTGCATCGATATGAGTATTTATTTATGCTACTTTTCTTTCTTTTTTAATATGCAGATGAATTTCTTGCATTGACATACTGCAACTACATTGATAAATTTTCTACGTGCTTTTGGCTCTATATATTCACGTCATTTTTCACCTTCGATTACAGACACGTCTTCCCAAATTTTTTCTACTTTCGCCATCGATTCGTTGCCTTCCACGAATCGACTTTTGCAGTAATAAAAGCTTCATAAACATTATGTGAAATCATTTTACATCGTTTACTGCCGTATACTTGTATGCTGTATTTCCAAGTAAAAATTCTTAATAAATGTAAGCTTGAATTTTTAACTCCTTGCTGATCATCCTTGATTTTATGTAGAAAATGAAGTACTGGGAAAAAGAAATTAGAAATAACGCATGAATCAAAAAGAGAAAATCTTTCTTGTGATACCACTGTTATTACATTAACTATTACATTATAATAATATTGTTATTTTTGGAAGCTGTTATATAAAATTTGTTTTGAATTTACTTTTAACAGAGAAATTACAGTTGATTTCTTCAGGATTTAATATTAATAATTATAGTAATTTCGTTGAGTATTTGCCTAATTTTAGAGCAACAAACTCCCCTACTAATCGATAATTCTTTGTTCCATCTAATAATACTTATATTTTTATTCTTGACACGAAAAGTCTTGACACACTTACATTGGAAATCACTAGTGATCTTTATACCTTACAATTGATAAGATAAAAGTACATTAAAATAGTTTAATTTTATTTAGCTTCGTCTCAGATACATGATAAATACAATTTACAAGCTAATTTTTATTTATCATTAAAATGTAAGATTTTATATGACATTCCCTATAAAAAAGATATAAGATATATTAAATTTAAGTGTTATATAAAATTATAATATATGTAAGAAAGAAAATAGAAGAGAAATTTTAATTTCTTAATAAATGAGAAATCAGAATTTAGCAATTTCCAATAATCATCTAGAAAATCCAATTACCATAATTAGTGAACCTTAACGCATTAACCATGGAAATCATCGACGACCAACGACAATAAAATTAATTTAAAGAAAACTAAGATGTTCA